ATATATATATATATATATATATATATATATATATATATATATATATATATATATATATATATATATAATGTGAAGAACAATTTGCCTTTTTCGGTAGGAAAAACTATATAAATACATCATAGAATTCAAAATAATTAATGTTCACATCCTAATTTAAAATAATTCAAAAAATACCTATTTTCTCAAAAAAAAAGTTATAGTCCATATTCTCCATTATAAAATTTAAAATAATTATATGTTGATATCCCAATCTAAAATAATTCAAAGTGTCTATTCTCTCTTTAAAAAAAAATTACATTCCATATTCTCTATTCATTAAGGCTGATAATATTCGCTTAACTGATATGAAATCTTATATATATTGTATTTATATCATTAAAACTTCTTGTTCAGAATTTACTCATTAGTCAATGATATAAGAGTATAATTATATTATTGTGGTATCATTAAGGTTTATTATTCAGAAATTAGTCATTAGTCAATTATACTATTAGAATATATGTCTATTATTGTGGTATCATTGGAATTTCTTGTCCAAAAATCACTTATTAGTCAATGATACTATTAGTACATTTGTTTGTAGTTTTTGTTTTACTTTATAAGAGCGTCTTAACCCAAACACCAAATTTTACATCAACTTTGGTGTCAGCATTATTTTTGGTGTAATCAATTTCAACCCACTACACCAAATTTTGCATCAAAACTGGGTTTTTTTTCCCATTATTATATTATTATTTCTAATTTCATTTATATTTTCTTATGTCATAAAACAAATTCTTTCTAAAACATTCGTTTTATATAATTCATATTTTTTTTAATAATCGTTTAATACAAAAATCATTATGTTTTGTTGTACTTTTTAAAATTAATATGTATTTTATATTTCAATTCCAATGTATGTCAATTACTACTTTGTTGAATGTTTATTATTTTGGTTATTTTTAAGTACATTGTATTATTTCTTTACAAATTTATACATTTGCATTTTTAATTTTCGTGAAGATTAATTCTAGTTTATATTCAATTATAATTTCTAGTAAAATTAACATAATATTTTTTTAAGTCATATATAGAAAAAATAATTTATAAAAAAGCTAAATTTTATATCTAAAGTTAATATTATAAAATTATTACATAAAAATAATTAAATATACAAGAGATTTAATTAAGATATACAATTTATATAATATTTAATTAATAATTTGTATGATAAAATAATATTATAATATTCAAAAAGTGAATTGGTGCGATGATGTGACACTATTCACAGACTAAAGTTGATGTAAAAATTGATATGAATTGGAGCTCAAAATACCAATTTTTACGCTAAATATAAAATTTGATATAAAATTTGTGTTGAATTGGAGATGGTCTGAGGTATTTGTTTTCCGTATGTGATATGTTTTGTTAGTAGAGAAATTAACTGAGTTTGCGTAATATCGCATATGATTATAACTATGAATTTATCTTTTAAAATGTCATTTAATTTTGATATTAAGCCCTACATCATTTAATGGGAAAAGTTTTACTTATAAATATTTCATTGATTCTTTTTCAGTTAATATTTGTTAATACAAACTTTTTATTTAAAATCAAAATTTAAGAAGTAAAAAGATATCTATTTCTAAGAATCTATCACAAATCTTAAAATGAGAATTATGTTTATACATATGTTAATGGTTAGAACATTAAAAGTAACGTAAACCATAAATCAAAATCAATCTTCAGATAGACTAGACAAAAACCCATAAATCTAAAAGTCTTTTTATGTTTTTAAATTTTTGATTCTAACTAAAAATTCATATTAACAAATTTAATGAAAAAATCAAGTAAATAGATTAAGTGACTTTGTATATAAAACATTTTTGAGCAGATTTTGAGTTCAAGTTAAGTGACTTTTTGAGAGAAAAAAGTATAGTCAAACGACTTTCAAATTAAAAATCAAAATTAAAGACTTTCTCAAAAAAAAAAGAGTTAATAATTAAGTGACCAACTGATTTCCTCAAAAGTTCACCACAACTCGTCTTTATCGTTCTTTGCTCGTTATACATGTCTTAAGATTGTTCATAACAAGTAGGCACATGATAGATTATTGAGAAATATTATACATAATAGCAAATATATAAATCAAGTAGCATATGTAACACAATTTTTGTCATTTAGTTGGAACCCACCCATTTTTATAGAAGATGAAATATTCTTTTACAAATCTATTCCCCATCTTTTTCTCTCCCATTTTCTTTCGATTCCCCTAAAATCTCCCCAAACCAGTTTTTCTTAATCGATTGGGGCCAAAGCATTTAAAAAAATTGACAAGCAACAAAGAACACATACATGGTATAAAAATTGGTTTAAGTATATATTCTTTTTTTTTGTTGTATAAAAGAAAAATACTTATATATTACTAATGAAGAAGACATAGAAGGAAAAGAATCCTATTATGTGCACAGTTTAACGAATTTCTTCTTTTTATCTTAGAAAAGAAGAAATTACTTTCTTTTTATTTTTTAAAAAATCAGATTACATATAAAAGGGAAGGAGTCCCAAAATATAGAGATTAACAATTTTGTAGCAAACACAAAATTTACAAACTATAGCTATATCATATTTATATGATGTGAATCTTTGTTATACCTAAAATTTGCTCATACTACACATGAATCAAATGATAAGTGGACACGTGACAGTTAAAAAGTGAGGCTCTCAGGAATGTTTGGCCTAGCAGCAAAATAAATTTTAATCTTAAATACCTTGATCCTCAATTCATACAATTACGAAGCATCGACCTTCATTTTAGGTATGGGCAAACAACAAATGAAATGGAAAGTAAAGAAGTTAAATTAAGTACTAAACAGCAAGTTCAGGCAACATATCAAATTTGTTTTAAAAGATCAAATAGGCAAAATTGTTAATCAGAACACTTCCAATTCAATCAGCTAACCATTTGCTGTCCCACATAATAAGATCATATGATAAAGAAAAACTGCAGGTACTGCCGTACTGGTTACAGCAAGTACCCAAGGTTTAGAAGAAACACCAGACATAAATAAGCAAAAAAGACCAAATATTAAAAACTACATGAAACATAATCTCGAATGCAAAACTTCTAGCAGAAGCACTCCACCAGACATCTAGCACTTGATCTCCTTCAAACCAGGTGCAATGTACAAAAAGGTAGGATCAGCTGAACCCTCCTTGTAGTACGCAAACACCAGGGCGCCATCATCATGCATGCTCTCACCAACAAAGCTGCCAGCACACACACAAATAGTATCAGTTTCTATTAAAGGTGCCAGGTATGAAGTAGAAGGAAAACAAAACACATTCAACTTCAGTAAGAAATAGCTTAGACAATGTCATAAAACAATTTAAAATGGACATACAATTGCAAGTCCTTGATCTTTTGCAAAAGAAACTTAGTTGCTGCTTCAATGTTCTTTTTAAATGCTTCTTGTGTTTCTCCTTCTAGCTTGGGTGTCAGGTTCTTGATGTATCTCTTCATGAAGGTAACAAATTGTTTCTTGTCAAAAGCAGGTTGCTCCTGCAATAGCAAACCACTATTTATTCACATATAATTCGAAGTACATTAAAATGCACTGAAACGTCATTAACTATGTATACAAACCTGAAGTCTAAAAGTGTCAACAATATCGACAACCCTGACAGCTTGGTCATCCACACCTTCATCTTCACATCCACCCTCAGCAGAAGGATTTGCCCCAATGTTTACATCGACGGCACCTTGAACAACCCACTGTAAGGTAACCAACACATTACATTATCTCTTTTTAAATTAGACTAGATAGTCCAGAAGAATTTGATTGCTAATATATGGAAATTTTGCTAGCAATAATTAAATGGAGACCTACCTTCCCTTGAACTTCCCAAAGCACGCCATTCTCGACTTCTTTGTAGGGAAATGAGTCAGAGAGAAGCTCATCACCTGCAATAATTTTTTGAAGAGTTGTAGGTTTAAAGAACAGCACCATACCAAGAATGGGACTTTAAAAAAAAATTTAAAGCTGGTATGCACAAAGCTACTGCTACAAACAAACTATAAACAGTGAATTTTGACAGATCAAGCAGCTACAGCAACTCGAAGGAGCACATAACAATACATACTTGAATGGATTGCCAACCAGTTTAAATAATGAGCTATAGACTTCAAGATGTTTAATTGAACCAGAACTATAGGGATACATAGAACTAGGATTTCCTGTGTAACATGAAGCACAAGTCTAGATGAACTAGAAGCAACAAATATCACGAGTTTACGGATCCAAATTACTCATATATGGCTCTTACCTACAGTATCTTATATACACAGCATTAGATCTATAAATCAAGGGAAAGAACATAGGAATCACATCTATAAGATCCAGATTAGTAGATCTAGTTCCTTAATCACAACAAAAAAGAAAAAAGAGGCAGTACTGCCTTTACACAGTAAAATCAGTCGCAAATCAAGCAGATCTTATTGACAGATTCAGATCAAGCATCAAATAAACAACAATCTGTGCAAAATTCCCGTTGTCGTAAAACACAAGGAGACTCATCAACAACCGCCAATCATCCAAACAAGATTCACTACACAGATTGCTACAGCAAAACTACTCTAACTTCAATATTACAACTTTCTACCAAAAAATTTAATACAAAATATTAGAAAAAATAGAAAAAAAACAAAACTTAACAGAAAAAAATAGAAAACCGCAGAAGGATAAAAGAGATTACCGGTGAGGAGATCCTGATAAACCAACATGGTGGAAGAGTAGCCTTTTTCTTTCTCTCTCTAAAGTTAGGGTTGATTGGAAGAGAGAGGAAGAAAACGACGCACCAGTGAAGGCTCGAGAAGAAGGGTTTTGGCTGGAGTACGGTGTCTTTATAGCACTGAGCACTTGTAAATTACCAAAATAACCTGCCTTGAATCCAGAATTACGTATTTGCCTACCCCAATTTGAGTAGGGTTCTGAATGCCGCCGCACTCTGCCCCATGTCTCAACTAGTGCAAAGGCCATATTACTTACTTTACTAATCCTAATAGAATCAAAATATCCTCGTCCACGCTAGGGTAAAAAATAAATTTTAAATGTTGTGTAATTATAAATTATTAAATAAGAAAATAAAATATATTTTTTTAAAAAAAAAAATTATATCTCTAATAGCATAGAAGTGACATTTGTTTGAGAAGATTAAAGTTAAAAGCGAGTCACGTGAATTAGAATGAAGCGAGTAATAATCAATAAATTTATATAGTTTTATAAGAAGTTATTTTAAATTTTAAATATGAAAAAAATAAAAAGAATATATCTGCCAAATTGAATTTTACACGTGATGAACTCAAAAATTCTTATCTAGGAAATTATTTTTCTGAATGAATCTTACACGATGTAAATTTAAATTAATCGAATTTCAATTCAAGTGCTGAACATAGTCTGAGAAAAGAATAGGAAAACGTTGTCAAAAGATAAATATTGACCCACTTGTTAAATCTTTGATGCTAGTATATAATCAAATTTTGGCAATGTTGGAAAAATCTATAACTCTTGAAAACCATATTTATTCATTTTTTTATTTTTTTTTACGTTTAAGAATAGTTTTAAATGGACAATTTGATTCCTTCATCAAAACATATTTCCTCTTTTGTTATTTATTTTTGTTCTTTTAAGAGGATCGCCTATCCAAAATTTGCTACTAACTCTAATTATTAATTCACCATCAAATATTAAGTTCATCTTACTTAAAGCTAGTTATTATGATATTGATAATCGTATATAATAGCAAATTAATAACATAAAATAAATGAAATAGCTACGGTTTGATTTAATTGTACTTCATAACAAACATTAGCCAAAGTTTGTCAGTCGCCTCTCTCCCAAAAATCTCTCGCCACTCTCCCATTCTCGCTCGCCACTTTCCCATTGCTCGTCTCTCTCGCTTTATATACAGAAGTGTATAAATTGTGTTTTTGTTTTGTCGAGAGAAAATTGTATATACACATGCAAAAACATATATCTTTGTGCTATATACTTAATTATACAATTTACAAACATTTTACTTCATTTAAATTGTAAACAAATTCAAATTTTATACAAATATTGCAGCGAGAAAGGTCAACGAATTATACAATTGCAGTGAAATACAATTTTCTCTCGCTTTATACAACAGAAGTGTATATATTGTGTTTTTGTTTTTGTAATTAAAGCGAGAGAAAAACATATATCTTCTTCCTATACACTTATAATTATGCAATATACATACATTTTACTTCGATTCAATTGTATGCAAAACAAATTTTATACAAATATTGTAGCGAAATAGGCAACGAATTATACAATTGTGCATTATACAATTACAGGGCAGCGAATTATACAATTTAGGTCAGCGAATTATACAATTTAGGCCAGCGAATTATACAATTGTAAATTTTATAGTTTTATATTTGCTATGGAGCGCAATTATGCAAATTTTGCTATAACATACAAATATGATTTTTTTGTTTGGTGAAAGTTGTCCATTACAATAGGACTAGTTTCTTCTTTTAATGTACATGCATAACTCCGACAACAATATACTACAGTTTAAGATATATTAGTAATAGCTGGGTGTTTAACTGATTTTTTCACTTTCTAAGATCTTATTGAAATAGCTCTACGCTGAAATTATTTGAAATGAAATAAGATTTGATGTTTTAATAATTTGAAATGAAATAACATTTGAGGTTCTCTTTCTTTCTGAAATTCCCGACTTCACAATATTTTAGCCATATTGTCAATACATTAATATATTGGTAACATTGCATTTTTTTTAAATTAAGAAAATCCAAAGAATCAAGCCTAGTCGCACTCCGGGATCAGAGTATCCTATAGAGGTTAGGTGGTCAATACACCGGTCCGAGTTCCTCTTGATAAAAAGGGGTATGGGAACCAGCCTCTTCGAAGACCGCTGCTATCACTGAACCAATTTGGTGTCAGGTTCGGCTGTGCCACAACACAATAAACCTCTAAGACTGCTACTCTACAAGGTAGGAGGTGCAGCTAAATTAAGTAATTCCCAGTCACAAGTACATATACGACCGGATCTTATTTTGGGTAGCTATTGTCCAAAATTAACGATAAAGTTTCGATTGCCAATATAGCACAAGGCTATTCTAGGTCATTAAGTCATACAGCAGGAAAGTATACAGCTGAACAAATTCAAGAAGAGATCCACATACTACCAGACACCTCCTTTGATATCAGTAATCCACAGAACAGACGCTAATGTGCAAAGCTTCTATCCCCACCCCCTACCCGCACAGAAAGAAAGAAGAGGGATACTAAAAGGAGTTCGGGGGTGTGGCAGGCAGTAGCCATCTTCAACTTCGAAAAGCTAAAAGCTGCTTGCCATGGGGCCTGCAGAAAGTTTAGGCATAGTAGTTTAAGCTGGCTTTCTTCTTGGCTTGAACTTGAATGATACCTTCATTGAAGTCTTCATGAGTTACCTGCAAGAGTTTGGAGACCAAATTAGTGCTATCCAGCTTGTCAACCATAAAAAGGATGGGGTTTTATATTGGCACGGTTGATTAGCTCTCACAGGATAAACTTAATCATATTCATATGGGTACTAGAGATCATCGCAGACTTAAACAGGCCAGTTCAATTTAATTAGGTTTATATATATATAATCCAGATTATTGATTAACCAAAATAAAAGTCTAAATCCCATTGCAACTCATAAGTTCAAAAATTATGTAACCGTCAGGAAGCAGAATAAAGAATAGAGACCTCAGTGGCATCGCGACGGAGTGCTAGCATGCCTGCCTCAACACATACAGCTTTCAACTGTGCCCCATTAAAATCATCTGTCGACCGAGCCAATTCTTCAAAGTTAACATCTGGGTTGACATTCATCTTTCTGGAATGGATCTGCAGTAGTTCCAGCAAAGAATCCTCAGTTAAAGCGAAATTCTCAAGAACTCATTTCGTGTTGGCTAACAAGGCAAGGCAAGACAATGAAATGATTGTTTTGGCAGAATACTCACCTGCAGGATCCGAGCCCTGGCTTCCTCTGTGGGGTGGGGGAATTCGATTTTACGATCCAAACGACCAGATCGCATCAAAGCAGGATCCAAAATATCAGCTCTGTTTGTTGCTGCTATCACCTGAAGTGAAGGAAAGAAACCAAATCAATTCATGAAAATGTAAAAAACAGAAACCAAAGATCACTTGATTTTAGGTTTTGCAGTTGTGTGTTAGCTAAAATCAAGATACCAACAAGGTAAAATTTTTGGAAAGGAATATTGTGATTAATACCCAAACCACGAAGTAAGAAAAAAATGTATATATAATGGGTTTAAGTAGAAAAGAACCTTAATCCGATCATCGCTGCTAAAACCATCGAGCTGGTTAAGTAACTCCAACATAGTTCGTTGGACCTCTCGATCCCCACTAACTTCGCTGCAAGAGAACATATGCAGTAACGAAGAATTAGCATGCACATTTATGAGGAAGGTAATAGTGCTTAGTTTCTTTTTTGCAAGCAGAAGCTACTCCTTGACCAGTATGCACCAAGACTTGTAAGCACATATATAAGCATATTATGAGCATGCAAGGTTAAGCACATATATAAGCAATGGAAAACAAAGAAATAGTACCTATCAAAACGCTTTGTGCCTATAGCATCAATTTCATCAATGAAAATTATGCAAGGTGATTTCTCTTTTGCCAGCTGGAAAGCATCACGAACAAGTTTTGCTCCATCTCCAATGAACATCTAAAGTTAGAACAGGCATTGATCAGCAGCATATTTGAGTCAATTACTTTGATTGCAACTTAACAAAATTGTAAAAGTTCCCATGCAGTAGTTGGTTGCTAACTTTAGAAAGCCAAACAATAATATCATAAACAATTACATGCTTGCTCACACAATCATAAGTTAAAAACAAGAACGAAAATTTCGCTTTCGAAGATGATTAACACAGGGTCTGCTAGAGCTGTATACTTAAAACTAAACAGAGACCACCAACGCTCCCTTTTGGTAAAGTTAAAGGACTAAACATGTCCAGAGGTAAACAAGACGGATGATTTTAGACCTGCCCCCAGATATGAAGGACCATTTTTTTCATTTTTTGTAGATTAATCCTCTGGTTTGATACAAATTCAAGTAGAGACCCATCTTACATATTAAAATTTTAATATATCTACTTAAAAAAGACGAGTGTACTTTGCAGCAGCTCTTAGTTAGAATTGCCAGGAACAATGAAAAGAGGGAAACTAGGTTCCCACCATAGAGCAAAAGAGAGTTCAATTTCGTACAAATCTAGAGCAATTAAACACAATAAGATGAAACGTCGAAGATGATCTACCTGCACAAGCTGAGGTCCCGCTAACTTGAGAAAAGTAGCATTTGTTTGTGCAGCACAGGCTCTGGCCATCAGGGTTTTCCCAGTCCCAGGAGGCCCATACAAAAGGACTCCCTTTGGAGGACGAACACCTAATTTCTGGAACCGTTCTTGGTGTGTCATAGGCAGCACAATTGCCTCGACAAGTTCTTGAATCTGTTTCTCCAAGCCTCCAATATCATTGTAGTCTTCAGTTGGCTTTTCATCAACTTCCATTGCCTTTACCCGAGAATCATATTCAGATGGCAAGGTGTCCAATATCAAATAACTGTCTTTATTTACTCCAACCAGATCACCAGGTTTTAAGTTGTCAGGATCAACAAGACCAACAACAGGCAAGAAAATTGTCTACAAATAGAAATGAAAGGATTCATTTAGTGAAAGAACTTTAGCATCTAAACAGAGTATAACCCAAAAAAACTGTGGTAGAAGGATAAAGCACAAGATCACCAATTCCATTCAAGAGAAATAGATG